GGGAAAGAGCAAAAGAGCGAGTGACATTCCAAAGGCAAGAAGATTGATTTACAAAACTAGCAAAGCAGCAGAACAAATTTTAGTGGAAACAAATGTTCTGCTTAGGTACAGAAGCGTTAGAAAAAGTGGCAAAGAGACTGATAAAAATGAAGGCTGCTGGCACAAATTTTTAGTATTTTTTTCCCCACAGCAAAAGAACTGTACTTCAACATCCATTTGATCACTGTATTAAAAAATCAGTATCGCTCATCTTAGCAGTCACACAGATATAATCTTCTCCTTTCCAAATTTCCTCACGTTTACAAGACAGAGGAAAGGAGGTCCTGGTATTAACTTTGAAGAAGCCATTGCCAAGCTCTAATGCAAACAACCGATCCAGGGTATATACCGAGCTCCACATAAAACAAAACAGGATGACCTGCAAAGGTGCAGTCTGTGGAACAATGCAGAATCATAATGGAATACTGAAAATAAATCTCTCTTCAAAAATCCAGTAAATGGTACCTAAAAGCTATGTCCCCATTTACTGGTGTTTTTTTTTTTCCTTTTTACACATCAAGCAGCACTACATCAGAAACTCCAGAGAAAGCCATTTGCAGCGTTAACACAGATCCAAAAGTGAAAAGCACAAATGACTCGGCAGAAAGTCCCGCCGCTCCTGTGAGCAGTCATTTGTTTCACTACTACAAAGGAACTTCCCATTACTAGACTGGGCCTAACAAAGTAGTTTCTTGGCTAGAGCAGCAGACCAAAGAGGAGGAGTGCTGCGGAAGTGCAGAGTGCCACGGGCACAAGCTGAAATCTAAGCTGGGAAACGGCAAGAAACTCAGGCAGACGGATAGGAAAATCCTAAGCAAGTTTGTGGTTGACTTTTAAGTGGCCTGAGGCATGGCGGGAGGCACTGATTAACATCTCTGAATCTAATACTTACTTGTTTAAGACTGGCTTCACTGACAACACCTGTACAGAAAGTTTGAAGAGTTGTCATTTTGGTAAATGAAGAGGGAAGTAAAAGGCTATTTAGAAACAGCAGTACAATGAAGTTATGCAAAGGAATAATGCAAAGTCAAGGATTTCTCTTGCTGGTTTTGTTTGTTTGTTTTTCTTTAAACATCAAACCATTTTACAAAAATATTTTTAAAAAGCCCACTGAAATATGCAACCTTTAGGTTCTCAAAACTAACTGGTAAACATCACTCATGTTTAACACTATCTGCTTCCTGTAATGTTTACAATTGTGCTTGAAATAAGGAACTGCACAAAGATGATGGTGATGGGATTCACCTCCTGCACTTTCCTCTTGGAGCGGCAGACTATTAGGAAATGCCTACGCAAGGTAGTTCAGAAACATTTTAACAAACTTATCGGTCTTAAACTCTGCAGAGACGGGTGTGCGGTACACGTTTTTCACGATGCCTTCCTTGCACAGCTTTTAAATCCCTGACGAGAATGCCACTGCACTTCTGCTTTGAAAAAGAATTTTAAGTCCAAGTCACAATTCAGAATTTAAAAGAAATACCTTAAAGAGTGTATCAAAATTGATGTTCTGCTGTCCAGTAGCATTGAGAGCTTTGATGGCTGCAGTTCTGCAGGGAAACAACGCAGTATCGTTAAACACACTTCAGTGTTCCAAAGGTTACAAAGCACCAACACGAGTAATTTCTCATTAAATGCCTTTCCATTGAAATGCTTGCTTTGGCCTAAAATAATCGAGTTCTGTGTGACTGAATCTAGTCTCACATTGCTGAAGCTCCTCTATTACTACACCATTGAGTACGGACCAACGGGCAATCTGCCAACAGCTTTTTGCATACTATACAACCTAAAGATTGTATGATGTCTGCGAGCACTTTCCTAGTGCCATCAAATACTTTTTCACTGTGAATCTAAATCCTTCAACTTCTACTAAACCTTGCTTTATAAGGAAATTTTTGGTACATGCTTTATCCTTGCAATTTCTCATCTTTCATGCCATTCAGTGCCACACAGACTTTCCTCTGACACATGTGAATATCACTCCTCGTTCCCTTTTGAGTGGTATTACAGAACTGAACAAGCTGCCAGCTCAACAAGCTAACACCTGCTCAGAGAAGAACACACCCAAGTCTCTAAGCTTTTCAAAAGAAAAGTGTTATCTCACCACAGAGCTCCAAATTAGATTTACCTTCGATCATCAAAAGGAGGAGGGGTAGTCCAATGGTCATAGTTCGTCTCCACACGAAACCACCTGTAACACAATACACAAACACAAAAACAAACAAAAGGTCAATCAGCGGGTCATTAATAAAGGCCAAGAATCAGTATCTCTGTATTGCCAAAAGGAAAAAAAAAACACCCTCCCTCAAAAGCCTCTTTCCTGTGTCTGGTGTAAACTGAAGGGATCCTATACACACAGCAGCCTTTGCCATAAACTACTGAACACAAATGAAAAAAGAGCAATCTCTGAGCTCCTGCTGGTGTCAGTGGCAAAACTACTACTGACTACAATAAAAGCAAGATCAGACCTGTGAAGAGATGATCGGAGGAAAGATTACGGGTACGCGTACGATGCAGCCTGCAGCATACAGTTCGGAGTACACGGAGCCAACAGGCCCTCTGGCTGTTGCCAAGCCCGTATTTACTGGCTGACTGCAGTCACTATGAGCCATTTTTCACAGCAGGGCAACTATTTAGGATCTCCTTCATCTACTAAGCCAGTGATTTCACAAAATTGATAGGAACAGTTATTTCTGAGCCTTCAACCTTTCTGCCACATTGGGTCAAAACTAATTTCCAAGTGCTGAATTTACTGGTGCAAGACTTGACAGACAGGAAAAGTTCTCAATTCTTGTCTCCTTTGGAATCCGGCTGAAAATTAAACACATAGAGATGCTTCTTCCACCCCTGACCCTCTGGGCTGCCCCAGCCTGACAGGGTGGTGCGATTCCTTCTCGAAGAGAAGGGTCTGGGGTTCCTTTCAGAGGCTTTCAAGCTTTCCCTCTCCAGCTATAAGCATTATTAAGAGATGAGCCTGGGTCTGGCAAGAAAATTGTGTCACTAACCCTGCCTATCACTCAGGAGGGAACAAGAAAAAAGCAAAATAAAACATTTTTTTCTACTTACGCTCCACCTAAAGGATCAAGAGGCCAGAGATCTGCTGGCCCTCTTCTATTCCTCGTTATGACCATGCCTTCTTTGGGCGAAACGCCTCCTACAATATAGTAAACTTCAGCAATGATGGGAATGCTTGCTAGTCTGAGAACAGCTGACTGAAAGTCCTCTGCTCTGCTCAGGGTCTAATGCAAAAAGGGAGATCACAGTGAAAGAAAGATCACGGAGCATGGTCAAGCACAAAAACAAGCACTGGGACATCTTAAAAAGAAAAGGTCCAGCTTTTTTGAAAATGGCAATTGCCGCTGAAGTGCTACTTGAAACAATTTCTCTGAAAATAGAAATTGTTTTCCAAACCGACTAGCATATGAACATGAAACATGTATGACTAGTAAATGAACTCATTAATCCCACCTTTGCAAATATTCAAAGAAAACAGTAAATTTACACACGCAAAGATATGTACACATATGTATATGGTGAAAAGCTGAATGGCAGATTTTCAGCTTTTTTCAAAGACAGAGGCCTGTCCATGCTCTGCAAATTCAGTCCTCACCAAGGTCTTCCAACATGCACGATGGGATAGATCAAAGTGGATGAAAGGGGTGGAAAAATCCCCCACTCCACATCCTTGTCTTGCCAGTGCTTTAAGAGGACTTAGGTAACAATGGTGAATAAGGCAGAGGCATTGCTTACAGCAAGCCTGGCTTCTCCTGCCATAACCAGGTGGCCAACTTAGCATAAAACGACAGTTCCACCACAGCCAGGGAAGCTACTGTTTTCAGGCACAGGGCCACAACCTACTAAAGTACATCTTCAAAAACGAAGGCTGTGCAGGAACTGAAAACCAATACGGAGAGCATGCCTCAAACAAAATTGTTCAGGGAAAGCCCTGGAAAACAATTAATTATTTGTGACAGCAACACTGCAGCTAGTAGTTTTGAGTCACAGCCTGAAGTCACATCTCAAACTCAAAAAGTATGAACAATAAAGCCTCCAGTAGACATTGCAGTTCTGCAGGGAGCTAACGTACAAACCATTTAATTCATATTTACTGTAATTCACAAATCTGAGAAGGAGCAGACCTCTTTTATCTCAGTAGTACCCTAACACAATACCATAAAACGTGCTATACAAAACACCACTCTTAACTCCTGCCGCTCACCAGCGAGTTCTGCATTTTTAATACGGTAACACATCAAACGTAGTGTAAAATAACCAGTGAGCCAGACACTAACCATCTAAGACCGCAGCTGCCTCAATTTCTTGAATTACCAATCACAGCTACCTAAAATACTCCCTAGGAAGGCAGTCTGCACAGCTTCTCACAGACTTTTGGCATTGATTAGAGATCACCCCCCTGAAGGACTGCAGTTCCCTCTCATGACGTATATGACAACGCTGACAATTTGGGGACAACACATATTCCCTCTTACAAAATGCATTTACTTAGCAATTTATTGAATTTTCTGTGAAACTAAAAGTTGTAACATCAAACTTACCAAGAGTTTGTAAGTACAAATTACATCTCTATGAAATATGAGAAAGTAACTCAGCGCACTTACGTCTCGGACAAGCCAGCTGACAGGGTAATTCCGATTCAGAAAAGCAGCTATTGCATTTTCCCACCATCTACCGCCCTCTGGACAAAAAAGAAAAATTACTATACGTGCATGTTACATACGCTCTGTGAAATCTATCCTCCCGCCTTCCTTTCTTCTCTGTGTCCCATCTCTAGCCCTGCAATCTTTTCTTCTACCGCATTACACAAGATCGGTGCAACAAATGCTTTAATTCTCTAACTATACCGCTATCATAAAAACATCAAAGTTAGGCAGCTTATACCAAACCGACAAAGCACACCCCGTCTCAAACTCATCAGAGCCTCTGTACCATCTTGAGCTTATCGGCACTGTTTAGAACACTGAATGCTCATAGTGCTCCTTTTCTTTTGTATTACTTCACTGATATCTACACAGAAAATATGTAGGATGTGCTGCATCACCAGCCTAACACACCCTGGCGAGCCCTCATTTTACAAAACTTGTCTTTCAAGTGATCAGTTCTCTGTATCATTAGATTTGGGTACCGAAGCACCACAGAAAGCTAAATCCTCAGTGAAACAGGGCAGCTGCCTATCAGCATAAAATGTCAGCATTTCAGGAGAGGGGCTAACAAAGAACCTAACATCTAACTGGAACTACAGGTGAAATATAAATAGACGCCATAATCCCAGCTGAAGTTCAACCAGGGCAGCTGGATTAACACCCCTGCTTTCCAGAAAGCATCTCAGCGTTATCTTAGCTTTTTGGTGTCTTCCGAGAGGTACAATATTTCTGTGACCAGTGCCATAAGAGGGTGCCATACATGGTAGGGAGTCTGAGACACAGCGGACAATAAAGACGACAGTGTTCAGCACTGTACAGAGAATACGCAGTATCTCTCCGAACTTGTCAGCGCTAGCAGTTTCAATCAAAAATGATCACATTCCTTCCCGTACTGATAACTTGCTAGCTGCTCAGTTTGTAAACCATTTTTATTCATAGCTGAATGACAAGCAATGAAGAGTCAAAGGTGACTGTAACAGGGACTAGCACTTTGAAACACGTATTTCTAAAAGGACTGTAGGTCTATTCATATAACAGTCTACATCTGTCAGCTCAGATATTAGCATTAATCACCTCATTATCCATCTTACTGAAATATTACAACAGGAAAAATTACACAGAAATCGTGAAACAGCTAAAAAGAGGTAGTGGTGGTGTTTCTGCGTTACTGGAGAAAATTAGGAGAACTAAGAAAAACAGAAGGTCAAGTTGATAATTATTCATACGCCAAAACCAGAAAAAGCCAGGAGAAACAATATGCTTGTCACTTGACAGACCTTCACCCTCATTTAAAGTCATCCCCCTTTCAGCTATCGTTCACATGCTGGTTTCCCTGAATTTTTAGTTCAGTTGTACAGCAACAGATGAATCTGCAAGCAGTCAGCAACAACTGATTTCAAGGAGCAGAGCATGCGTCGAGTGAATTACTACTGTCTGTAGTTAAAAAGGGACTGAAGTCGAGGTGCGCAGGTGGATGACGGCACATCAGCTCCTGACGGACAAGAGGGGCCCATCACGCACAGAAGTTTGCGGGACTTGATTTCCCTATCAGAATCGGGAGAACAGAATGGGTTTGTGCACGGACTCAACCACCTTACCGTTGTCTCAGATGATCCTTATCTTAAGCACACTGCTGAGAAACAGCAGGGAGAACAGGACAGCACCGGTTTCGTCCCCAAATTGTGCCTGTACACAGACACAGGACTTGGGTCCGCAAGATTTACTAAATCAAGCCTTTTGCAAAGGCTCGATACGCTTAAGACTTTATTTCCAAGGTGCTGTTCGTATGAACTAAAAGCAGCTTGCATCTCTCGCTATCAGCACAGGACAATCCAGTTTTGAAAGGATTAAATAACTACACTAGCATCAGAAGCAGGCTCTTACAAAAATATGAGTGTACACTGTGGAAAGAATCTCGTGAATGCAACAAAGCAGTATTAACAAAGGAAACAGGAATCAAAAGGTACATGTGCTCCATAGTAGAATCCCTACTCAGAGAGATAACGAATATATATAACATATACAGTGAATAGTGTTTGCATAGCATCTAAAAAAAATTTCAAAAACTAAAGACAGAAGAAAAAAAAAAAGATTAAAAGAAAAATTATTACCACAACCACAAGTGAAAAATAAACATTTATTTTAGATGTTGGTTCCAACTCGGACTACATTGTTTCCAGTTCTAACAAACAGCTAATCAAGAACAGCAAAAAGCATCTACTTCTTAAAAAGAACAGAAAAAAAGAGGGGAAGGGACAGAAGAGGCAAACCCAAGCTCTGAGTTGGACATAGCTATCAAGACCTGTGAAACCGAAGCGCTGATGGAAAAGGCGGTGACCCTTCCTCTGCCTTCCTGACTGTTACAAGCCCTTCTGTTGTCAAGTTTTAGTTCTCAGTAGTGACATCTCTCAACTTTCCCCTACTACCAGTCTTGTCCACAGCCACCTTCCCAGTATCTCCATGCATTCTCTCCAGCCCTGCTGCCTTTCCCTTAGATCTCTCGGTCTTACGCTTCTCTCGCCATCCTCTCTTTCAAGCTGCCTTACAAGGACCGAGTAACATGGAATACAGAGGAGGGGACAGAGAATTAGGAAAGCAGCTGTTGATTTGCTATACACAACTGCATCTTTTTCTCTCAACCCCTACTCTGCCATCTCCAATCGTGTCTCTTGAACAGACGACCTTATTTTGTCTCTTAAGGCTTTCCCCAAGGTTCTCTGTCTCCTTTCACATTTTTCAAGCTCAGATAACACTGTGCTGATACACAAGGTCTTTCTCCTATGCAGCAGCCAATAACTATCAGCATGTGTGCTTTTACCCCCCGAGGGCCAGAGAAGTCGTTGCATTTCAGCTCCTTCCTGGCAACCTTCATCGTATTTTTCCCTCTGGGAGAAAGCGAGAGAAGGGCCAGAGCAGGCAACAATCAATGGAAATAGCGTACGTAACGTCAAGTGTGGAGGACACATTTATTTTACCTCGTTCGTCACCGGAGATCGTGAACTTGTGTGGACTCTGTCCGGTCCACAAGCCTACATATCCAAGAAACGTGGTGCCTTGATACGCTATCTGAAACCAGGAAACATGCAGCATTTTAGCATTCTGCAACAGAACACTACTTACAATATAGGCAACATTCTGCAAGCTGGATCCTCTACTTCTTCCTGTGACTTTCATACCTTGGGTTGCTCTCAAGCACTCTTCCTTAAATTACAGTAAAACTTGCAAAGTAAATTTATAAAAAGACTCTGAGGACCAAAATTCACTGCATTTAATTTGTTAATGATCACCAACTGCCACAAAAGTTTTGCTCAAGTTAGCAAGTACCCAAGGAAGAAACAAAGAATTCCCCATTTGCAAAACGGACTAATGAATATTAAGAAAATCACACTAACAAGGACTGCACTAGCAACTAGTTCATTTTTGGAAATTTTCATCTAACACACACAAGTTGGTCACAAAAATTAACAAGGCCTTAGAAGAAAGCCTGAGAATCAGTCCATGCCAAAACTGATCTCTTGCCTATATCCTCTAGTATTTCTTTTCTTCTTTAACATCTCCTTCCCAATAATGATCTTGTGATACCAGATAATGTAGTTCTATTTGTTCCAGTTTATCACCACAAACTGGATGTCCAGAAAACAAAGAAAACCAGCATTCATCCCGCATTCCCAGAGAGAGGGACTGTGGTGCTCTAATAATCCAGAAAACTTGGGACAGGAGCCTGTCCTGGTTTCAGCTGGGACAGAGTTAATTTTCTTCCTAGTAGCTGGTATAGCGCCGTGTTTTGGATTTAGGATGAGAACAATGTTGATAACGGACTGATGTTTCAGTTGCTGCTGAGCAGTGCTTACACCAGTCAAGGACTTTTCAGCTTCCCATGCTCTGCCCGGTGCACAAGAAGCTGGGAGGGGGCACAGCCAGGACGGCTGGCCCACACTGGCCGAAGGGCTGTTCCATACCATAAAACGTCGTGCCCAGTATATGAACTGGGGCGAGTCGGTCAGGAGGCAGCAATCGCTGCTCGGAGACGGGCTGGGCATCGGCCAGTGGGTGGCGAGCAACTGCATGGTGCATCACTTGTTTTGATATTCTTTTACATCATTTTTATTATTATCTTCTGTTCCTCTGCTGTCCTATTAAACTGTCTTTATCTCAACCCATGGGTTTTACTTTTTTTCCCCCGATTCTCTCCCCCATCCCACTGGGGGGACAGAAAAACCACAACAGAACCACACTGCTACACTAAATCCCGCTGCCTACGCAGCTGTACGACCATACCCCGTTCCTTCACGGAATGCCCCCCAGCCACGTCAGCCACAGATCATACCTGCCCACTCTTTATAAACTGCACGTCAATTGTAATCTTGCTTAATATATCGACAAAGTCGTAATCCAGGTTCCGACCATGGTAAATGTTTCCTTTGTCATCCTGAGCGACAATACTAGTACAGAACCTTCAGAAACAAAAAGGAGAAAGAATCATTTAAGAAAAAGCTATGACAATGCTTTCAATATTGTAGTTGAACTAGCTCAGCGTTTCAGGAGGAGTAACTGAGTGTATCTTCTGCAAAGTATTTTACTAATGTAAGCATACGGATAGCAGTTTGCATTAACACTTATGCTTCCCAAGCTGAGAGAACAATCTTATCCTATACTTTTTGATAAAATTTCTTACAGGTTTTGGGGGGGGAGAGGATGGACAACACACACAGAATAGTTTGACTGAAGCTCTGCATACCTACACATCACTACAATACCGTATATGACTTATGCACGATATCCATATGGGAAAGTCCTTCCCCACAGAGTCTAACATACAAAACTGCACAATACTTAACTTATCGTGTCCCACCTGGTTCAGAAAGTCCAAAGCCGCACTACTGTCCGCATCGGGACGGATATTACAGAGCAGGTGGGAAGCAGCATTTCCACTTTGGGAAAAAAGTCATTATTTCATTTTACTTCTTTTCTAAATTGAGATGAAGAGCTGACATCTAAAAACATCCACAAAGTATCAGTCTGAAACTTTCTGGATTTCATTTTGACAACTATAGATTATTTCATTTCAATTTGGACCCCGTTTATATATTTAATCACAACTAGATTATAAGTTCAAACAAAGTCCTTCCAAACTGAAAACATCAGTTGTTGTTCTAGTGTCGGCCATTTCAGTAGTAGTCTAGCCCCTTCTCTGAAATTCCTTTCTCAATAACAATTTCAGTTTCATTGAAACAAACTTTTCTATGAAGTAGATTGAATTAGCAGGGAATTCAAAATTTATTTTCTCTGGAGTTAATGAGTTTGTCATTCCAATGATGCATAGGACCGTATTTCAAAACTGTAAAGGTAAAAAATTTCACAAGTAGTTTTTTCCTGTTTGATGTTTTTTATTTAGTATCGTTAAAGCTGAGGAACTGAAAATTTCATGGGCCTTACCAGGGCTAAAAATGGTAAGCGTCCTCTGTGAAATACTACAAAAGCTAGCATTTAAATGACTCTCTTATCCAATATTAATCCTTATTTTAAAAAAAAGAGCACTTTCAGTATCACACCTTAAGAAAAATAATAATCAAAATGCATACAAGTGGCTGTATGCACCTGGTTTTTTTATTAAAACCTACATGGAGGTTTGTTGTTTGTTTTTTTTTTTTTAAGATCCTCACAGGCAAGACTAAGTGTTTATTCATCTCCTGCACATCCTTCTAGGGCAAAAAAAGGACAATGAAACTGAGTATTTTTTCCACTGAGGTTTTGTTTGCTGTCATAAAGATATTACGTCCATTTTGCATTGTGCAAGTCAAAAAAATTATTTTATACAGTCATTGTGAACATTCATCCAGAAAATTGTTTGGAAGCAAGTCTATCTCAGATGAACGGTTAAAATAATTAGTTGCAATCTTATTTTTCTCGTTTCCTTTTCGGTCTAATACGTCAATTTAAATGACAAGAGTACATTACGTGATCTTTGAAGATAAATGAACCCAAATACTTTGAACAGATGGCACTTCCTTTTTAGCAGAGCTTATTTTATACAGATATACATATGCAAAAACGTAACAGCTACATGTTACCGTTACTAACAAAAAAACGCTCTATGTTTCTTGTTCAATTCAGGGTACAAACTGCCAAACGGGAACGAAACCTTCCAGCTGAACACACGATACGGTATGAGAACGAACAGTGCAGATCATCTGCCACGGGTCTTCACCTGCCTTTGTGTGTGCTCTCCCACGCCGAACTAAAAGGAACCTCTACGTCCATTTCTACCAGATTCTGTAAGTACCAGACACTTACGCAGTAGATTCATAGGCGAAGTTAAGCAGGACTCCATCTCCGAGACTGACTCCCAGTGCTTTGCACAGTCCCAGAATTTCCCCCGCGAAGGGTTGCGGCATGAAGAACTCCAATTCTGCCGCTATCAGCCGGATAACTTCATGGGCCCATTTTGGTACCCTTTCACTGCAAAACACACTCAAGGCATTAGCCGAGAACGAGAGACAAAAAGGTTTGCACCTTACACCCAGCAGTCAGGTACTCGAGGAGCCTGCCGCTTCTCCCATCAGCCTGTCCCAGCTGGTACCGACCGCCTGTCTCCGACATCCCTGCATCCCATCCCTCGCCCAATCTCATCACCTTCTGCACATCCCCAAAAGCAGCCTGCACAACTCGAGCAAAACATTCAGCACAGGCTTTCTACTTGTAAAATTTTTTTATTCCTGCCAGGGATCTCCCTAGTCCATCCCCTGACAGGTTCCTAAGCGTGTGCATAATGCGGTAGTACCGCGTTAACGCTCAAAGAGACCCCGAATTTTTGAGTTCAGAGCAGTTCGGCAGCCGCGCAGCATCGCGTCGCCCTCCTCCTTCAGGCCCGGCAGCAGCGGGTCTGCGGGGGGACGAGGAGGGCTGGGAAAAGCGGGCCCCGGCCCGGTCCCGCTCCCGGCACGGCGGCGGGAGGGGCGGCGGGCCCGGGGCTGCCCCGCCCGCCGCCGGAGGGGGGGGGGGGGGGCGGGTGGGGGGGCGGGG